GGAGGACCATCACCTACCATACCTAAAGCTTTGTTTTTTTTCTTCCTTTTAAAACAAAATAATGTATGGTTATATCGATGTTTAGAATATTAATTATAAAAATTATTTTCCTTAAAAAGGACTCATTTCTTTATTATAATGAGAACGAGACATTTAGGAACGATCCAAATGGAGAGATTTTGTATCAAATATGTAATACCATAATTAATAAGAGCCGTAACCAAATGTATGACCGACCATATGATTGTGACTTTGGTCTAAATATTATACATATCACATGGGAATTCCATCTAAACGATATTTATCTCCAATCCCACGTCATCCATGTTGAAAAATACGTTTGTTTTCCTAACTAAAATATACGATTTAGGTAAACCTTGGACTTTAAATTGCATGCATATTCTTTTTTTATATATATAAAATGCATGCATATTCTCTTAATTCCAAAATAATATTTTGTTTTTTTGTTAAAATGGATATTTTTTTATATTATTAGGTCGTTTCCACCTAAAATGTGAATGATACCCACCTTGGATATAATCCGAAACTTAATTATATCCGATGAGAATCAGAATCGTTCTTTTCTTTTCCCTATATAATGTTATTGGTAATTAGTTTCTCGAGTTAATCCCTTGTAATAATATATATTAATTATTTGTTTGTTTGTTTGAGAAAAGAAAAAATCTATAAAAAAAATACCTGAATTTTTCAATTTTTATAAAATAAGACCTAAACTTTGTTTTTTATCAAATAAAACTCCAACAATAGATTTAAAAATGATAAAATTATAAAGTTAGGGTTTATTTTTTATTGAAAAATAAAATCGAAGTTTTATTTGATAAAAATAAAGTTAAGATTTTATTTTATAAAAAAATGTAATTTTAAATTGAGGTTTTATTTGATAAAAATAAAGTTAAGATTTTATTTTATAAAAAAATTGTAATTTTTCTTTCGAGAAAATAAAATGTCATACATGACACAAGTTTGATGTAACATATTCGGGTTACGTTTATAAATTCACTTTAACCGTAATGTGATGTGACATATCATATGATGATGATGAAATTGCTATAAAAAAGTTTGTAATGTCAGTGGATTAAAGAAGACAACCAGAAAAAAAAAAGTATAAGCCGCTTGTAGAAAAATGATTCAGCGCACACAACTTTTTCACGTGCCGACAAAAACAAAGTTACTGGACAGTCGTAATTTGTATCGTTTTCCATTAATTTTTTTTATTCCATTAATTTTATAATTATAATAAACTGGTCGTTTTTTCTTTTAGTTATAAAATCGTAAAAATTCGTAATCAGGACACGTACCGCGTTTTTGTTTCGCTTTATATATTTTTATTTACTAAAAAGTTATTCGAGATTATGATATAAACACGCCAATAATTATATGAACCGTTGGTTGGTCTAAGCCTTTTAGTTTTATGATTATATATTTATATAATCCAAATATATGTAATGTTTTTGGGGGATGGACGGTCCACGTTACATCTTGGATAAATAGCCTCGAGATTGTCTCGATGACAAGTGGTGGGGTCTTCGGACCGAGTTGGTTAAATAGTCGTTAATATCGGCTACTAGCATTGCAGACTTTACGATTTTGCCCTCATTTCTCTTCTCTTCTCTTTTTTTTTTCCTTTTTCTTTTTGTTAATTAATCGAATTAGTTAAAACGAATAAAGCCTAAAATCACGCTGAAGACAAACATGTTTACGCAGAAAGTGGCTGTCGTATTTGCATAAGATAGGAATATATCTGTATATATATATATATATATTACATGATAGATATATGTATGTCTCTCTCTAACTACCGTGCATGATCATATTCTGTGTTCTGTATCCCAAAATTTTGTTCTCATTCGAATTATCTTTAATAAAATGTTAATTACTTATTAGCCAAGTTTATATTTAAAAAGTGAGATTTAAGTCAAAGCATATGTTTATGCGCATGTATTAGTGTATGGGTTTTATGATATGAAGCACGCTGCACGCACAATAGCATATATATATATATATATATATATATTGGTATACACCGAAAAATCCAAATATTCTCCCATTAAAAAAACATTCAAAAAATTAAAAAAAAAACAAATGTGAAAAGTTTTACAAAATTGAAAATCTAATACTAAATTTTAGAAGGATAAAGTACTTATTCTTCGAGTGGTTCTTGTCATCTTGGTGGTTCATTTTCTTGTCTTTACCAACTTTCTTCGTTTTTATCGTTTCATTCTATGATGCGCATGTATACATAACCAATGCGGTGTATGTAATTTCTGTACCAAAAATTATACAAAAGTTATAGTTATATATATATATATATATATATATATCCTTTGATGAATTATTAATGTGTACGTTGGCTATCATCAACTGGGTGTTTACGTGTTGTATGAAGATTAAGAGCACGTACTTCGCGCGTGAGTACTCACCCTCTCCATCATTCAAAAGCTTTTTCATTGATATGTCATACAACTCTCACAGATCCATGTGAATACATATGCATATATACGTATACAGACAGACAGATTTGGTTTTTCTTTCAAAGGTATATATATACACACACATATACAGAGATATGGTGGATATTTTATTAAAAAATTAAACGGATAGACCTTAAGACTTTCAGACACGGAAAAAAAAACCCTAGAAAAAATGCCTTCCTCCCAACAAAAAAGGCCAAACATACTTGAAATATATAAATATACACTGATGGTGATAAAATTTAAAGTGGCAAAACAAAATTTACAAAAAAAAGGGAAAAAACAACGGTTTTATCACTAAAAAAAATAGTAATAATAAGAACCCTAGAAATCGTTTTCAATTTAAACGTGAAATTATATGGTATCTTTTTTTTTTTTTTGGTAGTAGTAGTTATTTGTTCTTTGTCTGCGCTCACACGGCCTTTAATTCCCTTTGGCATTAGCACCACTGTTTTTACTCTTAAAGAATCCTATGACATTTTATCGACCGTACGTACGTGTTTAAATTGGTTGTGAGTTATCATAGGATTCTCCGATTCGATCGGGTGAAAGGTTTTTGTTATTTATGGAAGTGAAAACGTTGCAGATTCAAGTTTTTTAGGTAATTTAATTATTGGGTTTTAATAAAAATATATATATTTGTATTTTTTTTTCAATCTCATTGTATCGAGCATTGTATTGGGATATTAATTATTAAACCTCACAAATTTTCAAACTCGGATAAGCTATAGTTTGAAAATGCATTGAATTAGCTTTTGTTTATTTTGTCCAACATCATGAGTACCTACAAAAACAAAATATATAGTTGACAACTTGACAATATATATATATATATATCGGGTGATATCCTCTCGTTATTAAAATATTCACATGCATCATCAAAACTTATAAATTAATTTAGATTTTTGGTTCAAAATATCTTGTCAGAAAAAAAAAATCTCAAAAGATATATCTTCGCACCAATCCGAACCATATTGATGACTACCTAACGTGTGAAACTGCATGTGCATTGAGTCTTGATCCAAAAAAAGAAGAGTGTATCAATGATTATTTGTTGGTTCCCTAATGATTAATTTGTAGATAAATCGTGAAAATAATCGAATTTTAAAATGATCGAGTTCGATGGTTACACGTTGGTTCAAATGTGTATTTCAAGTTTCAACCGCGCGCATGCGGGCATATAGTTATGGGTTTCTCATTTATCTAACTATTCATTTATTAATTTATATAAATTTGTTGGTCACCCTTGATAAATATTCTACTAGAAATGACGCAAGAAGAATTGGAATTTTTATTTAAATCAACTGAATAGAAAGATCAGACCGACGGTCCATATTATATGATGTAATATGTGGACCCATGTTTCGAGCTGAGATTACGGGAACCAGCCGTAGATTTCTCTCGCGTTCGGTTCTTGACCGCATTAAATTCAATACATTTTAACATTTATTTTTTTAATTACGTAAGGAAAATGCGAGTAACAAAAAAATAATATATATATATATATATATATATATATATATATACCAAACCCTAATAAATACCATGCAACACACACTGCATCTCACTTAATTTTAATCTTTTGCTTATGTACCAAAGTTAAATTGCTTTCTATTATTACTATTATTATTATTGGACGGCAGTTGGTTTATTTAAAACCAGAAACCGATCTAAAAAACGTGAAAATCTTTAATTTCTAGAGATACTTTCGGTGGTTTGATTTGAATTTATTGCATAGACTTTGCTAATTATATGGGTATTGTTATTTGGAATTCAAGTACAATGAAAAAACATTTATATATATATATATATATATATTGGGAGATGGTTACACACACAACATAAAATTTATTGAACTACAAGACCGATGAGACAAAGCTATACGTTTCATGATACATCAAAATCTCAAGGAAACCGTAGTGACCCACTTGGATTTCAATTTTGAATTTTCTTTGTCTATTCGCTCTCTTTTTTTTTTCATTTTTCCTTTTTCCACCGTTTTTTATTATTATTGATTGTAATTCCAACTTATGTTCATATAAACACACATAAAATTAATAACACAAAACAGAAGAGCATAACCCAAGGAAATGACATAATCGTATATAGAACAAAACATTAAAATTCATAAATTAGATTTTATTTTGTTCAAGTGGAGATTGGTGTTTTGTGATGTGTTCGAAAGGAGAGTGAAGAAGAAACCACACGGTTTGTAGGACAGAAGAAGACTGTCTTGTAGCTCCCATGTGCCCTGTCTGTTTGCTTTTTTCCATTTGCAAAATATTATTAATGCCCTCAGCGGTTTTTTGGTCCCAACAAAATAAAAATATATATGTATATATATATATATATATAAATAATTAACAATATACTAACATTAGAGCTAATAAAAAAAAAAGATGATTTAATTTTTAAATATGTTGCCTTTTGTTTCGGGAAGCTTAGTAGAGGAGCGAGTTAGTTGGGGTGGTGGCAAAAACGTAAATAACTCCAACTTCCTCACCAAAACTTTCTATAAATTCAAGTCCTCGTTCCCTCCTCGTTTCCCATCCCACCAAAGCTTCTTCCTTTATTCACTCTCAAAGGAAATAAGAAAATTTTCCCCAAGTAACCATTTTTCTCTCTCCATCTCCACCATTTTCCAATTCAAGCTACCAACTTCCTTCTTTTCCAATTTCTGCATAAGCAAAGTGATTAACTTTATTACCAATGTGCAGGTGCAAGAGGAAAAAAAACATGGGTTTTGTCGGGTTATTGGTCTTGGGTCTGGTCGGAGTAATATCCTCCGGCGTCAATGGCTACGGCGGCGGCGGTTGGACCAACGCTCACGCCACCTTCTACGGCGGCGGCGATGCTTCCGGCACAATGGGTATGCCTTTTCTTCTCCACCCACGAAATAAAGTTTCCACCTTTAATCTCCCTTTTCTCAATAACATTCCTTTAAAATCCAAATGGGCATAGAATGCAAACTCTGAAACGAGCAATCTATACGCCAAAAATGGTCCATATCCTTATCCTTACGAGATCTATGAATTTTCATACAGGAGGGGCTTGTGGGTACGGGAATCTATACAGCCAAGGCTATGGGACGAACACGGCGGCATTGAGCACAGCTCTGTTCAACAATGGCCTGAGCTGTGGGGCTTGTTTCGAGATAAGGTGCGTCAGCGATCCGAAGTGGTGTCTCCCTGGCTCGATCGTGGTCACAGCCACTAACTTCTGCCCTCCCAACAACGGTTTACCGAACAACGCCGGTGGATGGTGCAATCCTCCCCAGCAGCACTTCGACTTGTCTCAGCCTGTCTTTCAGCGCATTGCTCAGTACAGAGCTGGAATTGTCCCTGTTTCTTACCGAAGGTACATGTCCTGTTCTTCGCTATCTCTGTTTTTTTTATCTGAGACAGAGTAGATGATATTGCCTCTAACCCATGAAACGAGAGGTTGAAGCTTGAATCTTTCAGCTAAAAACCGCAAAAGATTCGTGGGATTTCTTCAAGTTTGTTCGATCGATCAACACGAGCCTTATTCCGGATTTTTTGTTCTGTGTGGTTTCAGAATTCCGTGCAGGAGGAGGGGAGGGATAAGGTTCACGATAAACGGGCACTCGTACTTCAACCTGGTGCTGATCACAAACGTCGGCGGCGCCGGAGACGTTCACTCGGCGGCGATAAAGGGATCTCGGACAGGATGGCAAGCCATGTCGAGGAACTGGGGACAGAACTGGCAGAGCAACTCTTACCTCAACGGACAGGCCCTCTCCTTCAAGGTCACCACCAGTGACGGCCGTACAGTCGTCTCCTACAACGTCGCTCCCTCCGGCTGGTCCTTCGGCCAGACCTTCGCCGGTTCCCAGTTCCGCTGAGCGACGGAAGGGCATTTTCGTAATCTCACTATCTCACCTATCCCGTAGTAGAATGGTTTGTAGTAATTAGCAGCAGTAGCAGAGTAACGAGGAGAGGGGTAGATTGGTAATTTCCGCCCCTCGTGCAGACCGGGCCGCCGCCGACGATGAGTCGCGTCATCTTTTGGGCCTCTTTATTTTACGGAAGGCCTCGATGACGTCATATCTTTGGACCGTCCCTTTTTTATTATACATTTTTTTTATATGAGGCGTGGGATTTAAAAAAAAAAAGTAGAAAAGGAGCACATGTAGGGTCGGTGGTAATATTACTGATGCAGAGGTGGATTTATTACCACCCGCTAGTAGTAAAAGTAGTATGATTTTTATTCACTGGATTTTAATTGTTAAATTCCCCATTTTACCCTTAGGGTGTGAAAGCAAGGGGGAGTTTTCAAGCGGTTTGAGTTTGGTAATTGTCAAAATTGTATTTTGTATCATTGTGTGGTTGTATGAGAGATTAAAAAAAACCTCTCTTATGTTGGCTTCTCCTAATAATGAAATTTTAAATTTTATCATATGCTTTGTTTCCTTGAAATATACAATCATGTGACCGATTGATAAGTTTCTTCTATCTACTGCTTGTTTAACCAGATTTTGCAATAAAAGGAGGATTTTTATTGAATTCCTACACGTTACGTAGTTAAATTTTATCTTTAAAAAATATTCTTATAAATATTTACTTTAAAAATGCAACATATATCACCTGATTATGCCTTCTAACGATCGTTTATCATAGAAGTTCTTTTTTTTATAATCTAGAAATTCACTGCATATTTGATCTAATTATATCTTCTAAAAGATCGAAAAACCCCGGATAAATATTTCTTTCTACAACTGGTTTAAAAACAGGATGAAAGCATGGTTGATATTTATTTTTTTTAAAAAATGAAAAGAAACGGCTCAAAAGCGTATATTTGATATGAGAAAAAAAAAAAGCATAGGAAAAGGCGAGGGTCACTGTATCAGCAGAGCCATGTGGCAGCCGACATTTTCAGCTGGGTCCCACTTCAGAACGTGCTCCTTACGTCAGTCACGTGAAATTGTCTGGCCCCTACAATTTAACGTCCTTTCATGACAATGGGCCTGTGAATGGCCCATTAACAGAAATACCCATGAGTTCATATCCATGGCCCATTTAACAGCCCAACTCGGCCCGTAAGCCCCACCGTGGGGAAAAGCAAAAAAGAAAAGAAACGAACTGAAATTATTGGGTTAAAGGAAATGTAATAAGGTATTTATTTACATAATGCTAAGGGATTAGAAGCCCCTCTCTTTCTCTCTCTAGTTATTATGCTTTGTAACGTAAATATGGAAGACACTAAAAAGAAAAAGAAAAAGAAAAAAAAAAGAAACGGAAACGTATATGAGAAAAATTATTACGGTGTGACGATTTGAACAAGTGAGGTAAAAAAAAATAAAAATAACCCGCTCTGGTGAAAATATATGACGTGACTACGCTTCTGGATATGCCGTGTATCTTACGTAACTTTCCTTTGTGTGTATATATGTATTAGATATATATAGATATTATCTGCTCTTATGGCTTCCGGGTTTGGCAAATGAGGAAAGAACCCACGTTCGACAATGGAGCTTGGCTCGTGTTCTGCCCCTCCTCACAGATGGGCAAAGGTTTCAAGAAACGCCATGGATTCCGGCAATGATTCTCAGTTCGGTTGCTGCAAAAAAAAACATAGAAGGTTGTCGGAAAGATTCATTCAGGACAAAAACGAGATACGGGGCAGTGGCAAGAACTGAGAGAGGAGATGAAGAAAGAGAGATGGTACCCGTGAGAAGAGAGGATCATCATAACCAGAAACAGAACAAGGTATAACAGATGCGGAGGAAGCCCAGTTTCCGGAATCCATGTTGAATTGCGGTCTTGAAGCTTCCAGGATCTGGCTAACGTAATAATCGGCAGGGCTTCCGAGCAGATTCCACTCGGCTAGTTGCTGCAGCTTTGGATCGTTCAAGAAACTGAGGTTGTAGGCCATTGAAGGGTATTGGTTGTTGCTGTTCATCATCAGATTATTCGGGTCGGTGCAACTTCCGGTGAATTCACTCCCTACGCAGTTTTCTATACCCGAATTCGATAAATCTGGACTTTTACTTGTTCCGAACAGTCCTGAGTAGTTTCCCAGCGATGAACTGGCGGAACATGCCATTTCCCTTTTGACAATAACCAGGAAGGAATGATTAGAAAGGATAAGTAGAGAGATTGATTATCAATTCAATGAGAAAAAAAAAAAGAGAAAGCCATTTTCGCCGGGATGGTACCTGTGATGAAGCAAACTGGGATCTTCTTGTAGAGAAATGTTCATACTTCCGTCATTATGTACCCACGAGAGTGGCTGAAACTGCTGCTCGGAGTCCATCCCGAATGATAAAGGCATCTCACTCTGTATCTGTTTTACAAATCAGACATGTCGGTACTGCATATATATATATATGTGTGTGTACACAAATCTTACTCCAAGAATCAGATAAAGGCCAAAGCTTTTAATGTCCATACTGATCCTCTACCTCATTTTTGCCATCCAAGTGTATAAGTTGCTGCTGCTGCTGCTGCATGTTCTCCTGCAATTGAAGATCACATACTTAGAAAGATTCCGGTGAAATATGGAAGAGAGAGAGAGAGAGAGAGAGAGAGAGCAAAAATAGATCAGATGAGTGAGGCAGTGATGATGGTGAGACCTTATGGGCACGAACTTGATCAAGACTCTGCCTTAGAGCATTTTCCATTTGACCCAGATCATCGATACTATCAATCTTCTCTGGTTCAGTCCAATAGCTAAATCAGGAAACATCAAAACTCAGAATAAGCTATGTAACATAATTGTCACAACATTGAAATGATTGTGTTTCGGAAGATTGATGTATACCTTAGTCTCGTATGTACTTCTGATAGTTGCATCTGCAGCATCTTGGCTCTGTTAGTTACCTCCTGAGGTTACCGGGTTTTGAAAGTTCATCGAGTTAGCAGATATTTCCATCACGATTAATCTTTAACCGAGGTCTCGGATTGAGACAAAACATTGTCAAGTACAGCCGGTTAGGACGGTGTTACATACCTCATAGGTTGATTTACTGAAACAACACAAGAGAGAAATGATTTGAATCAGATATAATCACCACTTGACACACAATAACAATTCAATCAGCTCTGAGATATTTTATAATATCTGCGAAAACGCACCTTCTCCCGAAAAACTCCGAGATATTAACATCATGATCGAGCTTCATGAATGTTTTCTTCAAGGCCTGGAATTTTTTACAGAGCAAAAAGACATTGAAGATATATAGCCAAGCTGAACAAAAACCAGAATTGACTGAAGAAAATAGAGACAGGAAACAGCAAAGGGACTTACCTCAAGGCTCTCTAACTTCCTGTACCAAGATACAAAGAAACAAAGAGTTGGATATAACTTGCCAAACAAGAAACGAAAAGATCTCAGAATCTAACGTTCAGTGACATAAGAACAAGATTTTCCGACAAGATATACCTCTTTGCCCTTTCCTGAGGAGTGAGTTGAGCCAACTTCGTGATGACCTCTTCGAGGCTAAACATAGAAACATCCAAAAAAAAGGGGG